TACAAATACAAATACAAATACAAATACCGGCTGCTTTGCACACCCCTAGTATAAGCTATGCGAAAACTAACTCACCTATCATGAGTTCTAATTATTCATTGTGGTTTTTGACATTTTGTCTTTCTTTCTGCCCAAGACATTGCACTTCACAAAGTTCTGCTAGCCTTAGGGCAAATTAAAGAGGAGGTCCTCTTCCTAAAGCAGACAACTCTTCAGATAAAGGCACAACTTAAAATGCTGGAAACAGAGGTTGCCAAAGGTTTTAAATCAGAACCTAACAACCCCCAAACATCCTTGGCATTTGCACCACCTATCAGCTTGCCCCTCAAAAATGAGATGGATCTTGAGGAGACAGAAAGGATTTTGTTGGCTGACACAGAGAGAAAGAAACTGGTATGTGAATAACATGATTTGAGGAGTACTAGAGTTGGGAAGTCATAATCATATGTTTTGCTAATGTAGCTTTTGTCTAATTAGATATCAATAATTAAGTTATTTCTCATTGAAATAATTGAATTGTATTAAACCTATAAGCAAGTTTTGTCAGCTGTGCTAGTACTGCTCAAAGCATATTTATGACTGTCCCTACTATAAATGTAACCTACAAATTCAGTAGATTTGATGAGTCAATATTTTTTTCTCAACTTCCTTCATTTAAAATAGAATTGTAGTCAATAATGGAAACCTATTTGTTCCTTGAGAGTGGGAAATACTCACACAAGACAGTAATACAACCTTCACTCTCTCCATCAACACCTGTGCCAGCTTTTTCATGTATTGCTACTGTTTCTGTTACAGATAACATACTACACCATGACTGGTGGGCACAACCCCACAAGTATGGAAAGACGAATACTTGTACAAACTTTTACGAATGAGTTTGCCAGTTCCCTCAATTGGGCTGGACGAGGAAAGAAAAGAGGCCTGCAATGTACAAAGTTACAGGACTGCATTTTCTGTAAGTTTTCTTCAAGGACGCATGCAGAGTTTGCAGATGTTGTTAAGCGGTGGCTGCGGTATGCCCCAGAGCGTGAG